AAGGCCTGGCGCAATATGGTTTGTGGGGTCACGAAGAGTCGGACATGACTTAACAACTGAACAACAACAACAAACATAATAAAAGTGGCACGTATGTTGTCAATGTTAAATTCATGCAAGTTATAACAGCACTGAAAGAGCTATTAAAAACTTTCAGGACCCACTATTGTTGACTTAAACGTTTATCTATTTCAATTATTATTAAAAGTAGAAATAATATTTCAGTCAGAATATAGAAAAACAGAACATAAACATAGTCATAAATATATATAAAATGTAAAATAATTGCTTCATAACTTGTCATAATATTAAGAAAAAAAACTGTCTTAAAATTAAAACATTCAGAGTTTACATGTTCGGATCAGTTATATCTTTCTTCTCTGACTTGGCAAACCACTACCCAAAATTTTGCTACTTTTATACATATCTCAATATACAGGCTGGAAAGTAAAAGTCAATCAAGCAATTCTTCACAGACACCAAATAAGATAAGAAATGTAGCAATTAGTATGGTGAATATCTTAGCAAAGTGCTCGGCTTTGGTTTGCCAACTCTACTGCTCCTGATCCACAAGGGCAGACTCTCGAACTGAATGGAATTTTCCTGTTTTCTACACTGCATTGCAGAGGGTCAGGCATTTCATCTTACTAATGAGTGTGCTCTTCTATGTGTAGGAGTTGTTAAGACGTAAAGATACTAAGTTGGTTTATGTCAGCAATTTATTTCTTCCAAGGCAACTCGGAACGAAAGAAATCTATTTGGTTCTGAATCACTAACTCAAGCCAAGAGTGATCCTGATGAAAAGCCATATGAACAGAGCTTAACTTTTAATGGTTGGCACCATGGAGGAATCAGACAGTATTAAAGAACCAAATCCAAAAGACTAGATTTAACTTGAATCAAAAATAAGCATGGTAGTCCAAATCCTCAGCTCTACCTTCAATAGTCTGGACTTAAGACGGTATTTGATATGCATTTGGGGACTTGAAAAATAGTTCTTACAATTTGGATTGGACCATTTGTACAGCAGGGAGATATATAAACCACCCTGGGCTCCACAGAGAACTGAGCATGGTTGCAGTAATATATAAGGCACCTCTAGTTCAGAAGAAACCCAGTACTGTGGCAGTGATCTGCTGTACATTTTGAGTCACATACTTGGTGTTTTTGTTTCAGGCTCCACAATGAAGAAAAACATCCACCAGATATTTAAAGTTTTGGACCCATACAATATCTATCTCATTTATAGACCATTGATGGTGATGACATTTAGGTCTCTGCAAAAATGAGTACTTCTGATTGTGGGTTATTAATCTTCATCTCATCAACTCCATTGTGCAAAACCACTTAAAACTCTTCTCAAACTAATTTCTGTTCTATAACAAATGATATCATCGACAAGGAATAGGACTGCTAGATATTTAATAGCTACAGTGCATTCGGAAAGTATTCAGACCCCCTTCACTTTTTTCAATTTTGTTATGTTG